AATTGAACTTGTACTCAACCGCTTGGGGGTGCGACAACTTCACCACTTCACTAAGTCGCCACACCCTATATATATATTTATATATTAATACTTCTATTAGTATAATCATATCTTTATTTTCTATTATTAGTATCTTGGCTATATGTTTGATATTGCTAGATTTAGTAGTGTGACTTCTTTAATTACTTCTTTAAATAACTTATCAAGTATATACTTGGCTACAATTATACTTTTGTTTCAAATAAAATTTAGAAGATTTATCTTTATCATCTTTGTATAGATACTGTATTCTAGAATAATTTTCAAAAATCATGATCATATTTTATAATAAGTTATCACAAAATACTATATAGTATAATTAAAAGTTTAATAATAAATTTTTTTAAAAGACAATTGAATACAAAATATAATTAAAAGTCTAATAATAGGCTTTTTTTTAATAGTATAACAAATAATTATTTAAAATTTAAATAAAGCATATAGGTTTTTTTTAATATTTTAAAAATAAAACCATATCTTTATATCTTTATTTTTTTTTTTTAATATTAAAGTGACTACTTCGGGGTCTGGCACGGTTTATTAATTTCTCAGTTCAATTATCAGGATACCGAATAAGCATCTTTTGACTTTGTTATATTAACGAGAGTACAATTAGTCACACGTATACCTTTAATCATTGTCTATTTAAAGGCTCTGCTATACTATCTATAGTTACCCACCAATTGCCATACCTAGAATCTACTTGTGGATCTCTATTTAAACACTCTGATCGACTTAGTGCCTCCGGAAGAATTCCTGCTGCTAAGGTTTCTTAGAACTACTTTATTCTCGTGGTAAACCTCCAGAGTGGTCCATGTCCTATACATATATCACCTGGGTTTTTTAGTAACTTATGTCCAATCCGAAGACTGGTACTTGTGGCTTTTGTAGTCACTACCATTACCTACTCCTTGTTCTTACAAGATTCGTTTCGATCCTGATACCCACTTTCAACTAGTCCTTATACCGATCTCTTTCTAACTACCAAACCAGTTAGCCCAGAAGAGTTGTTATACCTAGGCTCCAAGTGCCTTCTGGTTTTACTTCTCTTGGTTCCAAATTCTGTAGTATTAGACCTTTTTCTCCAGTATGACTCTGGCAGCCAGGTTGGTGGACCCTTCTTGCCTCAGGGTTGTTTGTCCAGTTCTTCAGTCTTTGGTTTCGATTTTCCGTAGTATCGTCAAAGATCTTCACTACTCCTAGCTCGAGTCTTGCCAAATGGGTTTCAAATATTCTGGTTTCTTGGATTTAGATCACCCTAAAGCTTCTATTTCAAGATGGTAGTACCAAGGTTACAGATGATATACCCAACCGATCATCAAATAAATGTTACCGGAACACAGGTCTATTTTTCAAAAAACGTCTCTGGTGGGAATTAAACTCTAGATCTGCCGCTTGGAGGTGACAACTTAACCACTACTCTATGTTGCCACACTCTCATCTTTATATTTTTATTAATATTAGTAATTATATATATATATATATATTTGCTTTACTTAAACAGATTATACCAATATCTTTTATTTAATCAAATACTACTTGTAGAAGTACAAACCATTAAAGTTAAGATCTAATACCTTGTAGTTATCTTGCATAACCTATATATATTTACAAGTAATCTGCTATATCAGAAGAGTATGATCAATTAAAATAATATTCTCCAGAGACTTGTCTGACTACTACTCTACAATAAGATATTACTAATCTGATAATATTTTTTTGTAAAGAAGTGAAAGAAAAAGAAAAAGTTTTATAAAAGAAATACAGAAGTATAGAAAAATATGTAAAAAAAAACAAACAAGAAATAACATATGGGCAGATTTGATTCTATTCGAAATTTGATTTTATCACATACATATTATTATTAACCAATCAAAAAAATGTGAATATAATATTTGCATGATATATTGATCACTAACCAATTAAACTAATAAAAAATTCAATATCGATATGAATAAATAAATAAATGATACAGTAATATTATCGGTAAAGCTTAATTATATTTTAGATAATAATTCTGTTCTATTTTTTTGCAATCTCTTTTACTAAATATATTATATTCTTTGTTCTATATTATTAAATTAAACTATCACTTATACATATTTGACTAAACCAATATTTATATCTATTTAACAATTAACTTTTATAAAATTAATTACACAACACAAGATATAAGTATTACAATCATTATTATTATATGTATTAAATTCATTTGTTTAATAATATATATAGCAATATTATAAAAATTCTTCAAAGCCTATTTAAATATTTTGGCATCTTTTAGTTGACTGATTTCGATATTTGTGTACCTAATAAACTAGTATTTTAGTTTTAATATAATGAGTGTTAATATTATTATGAAGTAAAATTTGTATATATTTAATATACAGCAATAAGTATTATGTTCTTATGAAAGTACTTTAAAGTGTATAAATAATTACTTTTCGACCAATTTAAACAATAAAAGACTACAAAATCTTTTAATTTTATGTATTTTTACGTGATTTACTTATTGACAATATTACTAATAAAAGTTCTAAAATAAATAGGATCAAAAGGGATCAGAAAAGTTAAAGTCTTGTTGATTATAAATGTGAAATATGAAACTATATTATACAGTCTAATCTCTATATAGTCACCCTCTATATAATCACAAAACTAATATAATCACATCTATCAGTTTACCAATTTTTTTAATATGTATTTTACTTCTATATAATTACAATTATATTATAATCACTATCACAAATTTTTATTAATGACCTATATAAATTGTTTTCTTTAAAGTCATATTTTAAACTAACCAATAAAAATTCACGATATATGACCAATCAAATGGATGGGTATCAGATATGTATAACGTACTGGTGCAGGAGATCTCTGGAGTATGGTTTTCATGTATAACGTATATATGTACCAACGTATGAATATTAGATTAACTGCCAAACGTATGCATATACATACATATATACGTTCATACCTATATGAATTCCTAACAGCTACAAATCATTATGATAGTTAAAAAAAATTGTAAAACTGGATACATCTTCGAAGTAAAAAGTTTAGAATTACAATCTAAGAAGCTTTAACATGTGGCATTTAGCATTCCTTAAGCTAGCTTTTTTAAATTAGTCTAGCTTTTTTTTTTTGTTGATTTGTCTAGTAGCAAAAATTAATAGTTAAAAATTAAAAAAAAACTTTATCAGGAATAGCACGAGCTTTGTCTCCAAATGCCGATTTACAGTAAGCCAACCTGGATCTCTGGATGTTTGAACAGGTATATTGATCAAACTAGAAGGTTTTTGTATTAAGAATTAATAGCTTGATGCTCTAATAGATAGTTTTTTAATCCATACTAAAAAAGTTGATTTTATCATATCAGATCTGCTGATTTTCACTATGGATTAATTAAACAAGCTGATCATTACTGTTACTATTTAGACTATACAAACTTAATAAACCGACAAGGTCAAATTTTAAACATCTGGGTGAGTTTTTTAAAAAATTATATATATTTTTTTATATAAAATTTTTTGAAAATAAAAATCAGGTTGCCAGATTACTTTCAAAATTTTATCTTGAGAACTGATTTAAGTTTGTATAGCTTTATGACTGTAATAACAGATTGGTAAAGACTATAAATTTCTGAAATTTTAGGAGTAGGTTCTTCGTGACTATCAAAAGGTATAGATAAGCTAAAGCCTATAATCATAATTTTTGGATACTATTAATTAATAAAAATTTTTTTATGTAGAAATTAATTTAATAAAGCTAGCACAACTCGTTTATTTCTGACTACACCATAAGTGGTAAGGATGCATAGAAAAACTTTATATTCTATGATGTCTAAACTACATCCTTAATCATATTGAATGATCAATACATATGTTCTTGAAAAAAAATTTTATTATTTTATTCAGCAGAATTATGACCAAAATATTATTTATAACTATAAGGTCATTATACGATTTAAGATAAAGAAAAAAAAAAAAGGAATTCAAAGTGGCTTTCAAAGGGCAAAAAAAAAAATTTAATTTTGAAAAATGTAACCCAATTCTAACTACACTAGTAATACAATACCTAGGTTATAACCGTTTCAATCATTTAGACCCAAAAAAGATAAGATTGAAAGGTGCTTCTTATTTTTTTCTCTTTCATAATACCATTCTTTAAATTGTTTTCGCAGTACCTTTAATTCTTTTTTATCAAACCCTTTTCTGACTTTGAGGCTTTCTTGAAATTTTATAATTTTTCTAATGCTTCTGTGGCCTCAGTAATAGTAATTGGAGGAGATGGTGGTGGTTCATCATCATCATTGTTATCAGTTTCATTATCATCATCGTGAAACTCGTAATTTATCATTTCGATGATTCTTTTATCTGTTAGTGCATCTTCGATCATGACTGGTTGATCTATCAGGTGGGTATATTTTTTAATATTACTTATTAACTCTTGAACTTCTGGATTATTCTCAATCGAAAGATCTTCAACTAACATATCAATATCGTCAACCTCAGAGATTACATCTTCAAGTTCATTTTCTGGTCTACTTTCTTCTTGACTACCTTCTTCCTCTCTATATTCGTTTGATTCACTTGCTTCTGGCATAATCCTGGTAGCCTTCTAGCAATTTTTTATAGTAATATTGTTAACATCGTCCTATGCGACAGAAATAAAATTGATAGCTTCTTGTAATATAAGTTTCCTATATTTATAAACTAAACAATTAGTATAATAAATAATTAATGTAGAGGATGATTCTAAAATCAAATGATGCTAAAATTTGAAAATTTGAGCTTTTTTAATATGAAATTTTAAATTTTTTTTTTTTTATGATTAGGTTAGGCTTTAGGATTAGAATTTAAAAGGTATTTGTGAGTTTTAGTAAGATTTATATTTTTTAGAGCTTCGATCCTATCTTTGATAGGCAATCCAGATTGAATACACATCAGATTACAGATAAAGCTGGCTTTATAGCATATCCTTAGGTTTGTTATTCATGTTCTTTGGCCAATCTGAGTAGAAATTTCTGATCTGGATATTTGAATCTATCTGGGTTTAAAGATCAATTTGGATAGTCGAATTAAGGATCGAAGCTCTAATATTTTTAAACAGGTGCTCTAAAATTTAGCATCATTTGAGTTTTGCATTACCCTGAAAATACCAAAATCAAAATTTTACTCTTGTTCTTTATTTTTTTAAATTGTGAAAGCAGATAACGGCAATAGAGATTTTTATATTTTGATTTGAAGCATTTTATTACACCAGCATCCATCGGTTGGAGATATGTGGTTATGTTAGATAGGAGAAAATGTACAGTGATGTTTGTAAGATAAAAATAATCTGGGATTTTTTTTTTCTTTTTTTGAGATTCTTCATGGGACCCTCCTCGGGATTTTCCTTGCGACTTTTCTCTGAGCCTTCCTCAGGGCCTTCTTTGGGACCTTTCTTGAGACCTTCCTTGTGACTTTCTTCTAGGCCTTTCTTAGGACCTTTCTTGTGATCTTCCTCTGGGCCTTCCTTGAAACCTTCCTTGCGACCTTTCCTGAGGTCTTTCTTGCAACTATTTCTCAAGCTCTTTAGGATCTTTGGGTTCTTCAGGTTCAGGATCTTCAGGTTCTTCAGGCTCTTCGAGCTTTTCAGACTCTTCAGATTCTTCAGGTTCTTTGATGTCATTTGTATGATTTTCTTTCAATAACATATAAGAAGATGCATTATTAACCAGGAGTAAAACCTTTCTATCTTGAATATGAAAACCAGCATTAATAAATTTCAACCAACTCTTTCAAATATTACTTCTCATCCATGCTTTTTTATTATCTCTATAGTCAACTGGTAATTGCGATCGATTTACTCCATTGAAAGATCGTAGCTTTTTAGAGAAACTGATAACTAATGAGCAAAACTTGTGAGAGCCGGTTGAATTGATACAAAATAATATAGTTATTCTCGACTTATTCTAATAATTTTTAAAAAAAAAATTGATTTATTTAGTATTCACTGGAGATGAAATTCACAGTTTTTTTAGGATAATGAATATTTCATTTAGTATATAAATACTACCGTAATGTGCAATATAAATGACCCGGGTCTGTTACATTCCACTAATTTTCAAATCTAGATTTAGACTCAGGGGTTTTTTGTATGGATGTGGGTATGATAATTGAAGGTTTATTCTATTTTTTTATTTTTTTCTTAGTATTTTCCTATTTGTATATCTGGGTCTCTTATATTTTGCCAAAATTTTATCTTTTATTATAGATCCAGGTCTAATTCATAGGGATCTGATATATAGGAGATCTTTTATATAGCATATTATGGTAATTGTCAAAGTCATTTTTGAGAAACAATATGCTTGGGAATTTCACCTTTGGCAAGCATTAAAATCTTTTTTTTTTTTTTATCTTATTTTTTTTTTTTCATTTTATATTTTTTAATTTTTAATTTTTAAAATTTTTTTTCTACTATACTTAACCTTTTTTTTTCCAGCTATCACTTTTTTAGCAAGCATTTGATTTGGAAGTAATCGATAAAATAAGCCTGTCTTGTCAGTATTATATATATCATCTGGATTATATTGAGAGAGAAGTTCTTGTAATTTGATATGTTTTGTGGGTAGGTTTTCTAAAGAGGCACTTGCTGCCTCTCTATGCATTATAATTTTTTTCAATCTATTTCTTTTTTTAAACTTTGTAACCCAACTATTCGAAAATGCGAAAGATTCTTCAGGTATGCCGAATCCTTTTGCTTTTCTCTTTTATTAATGAGTCAGATATAATTATTCCATTAATTATAACTTGCTCTACCTATATGTTCATTGCGAGCTTTAATTTGGGGTATTTCACTGAACAATAACAAAAGGTCTTTTCAGTTTGTTCATCATTTTTAAATTGATTATACTTATCAGCTTGCTTTAGAATTTTTGTTACAGTTGAGCACTCGATTTTCAAATTTGGATAGAGTTTTGTAAATTCTTATGCTATTTCTTGATATCTGTATAATAGATTTTTTTTTGCAATTTTGCATATTTTTTTTTTTGTGTGTTACTAATACGACTATGCATTTTGTTAGGCACTGATTGAGGAGGCATAATTTACAAACTGAGAGTTGAAAAATTATATATTACAATATTTATGACTTTTAAATCTCTTTTTTTTATTTTATTTAATTTTAATTTTTATTTTACTTTATTTTTATTTTATTTATTATTTTATTTTTTTTTACTGATTTATTTTTTGCAAATTCAATCTACTTAATTTGTAACAAATGCAAGGGACTAACGGGAGAAAAATCAAGAATATACATCAAAATCGCAAATTAAGTAAACTGGATGTTTAAGCAACTACTATATACAAGTGCTACCAAGAGAAAACTTGTCATCGGGCTTTCAATTATGTCTTGTGTCTAGTTTGCTCCTTAAGTGCTGTCTAGGAAAAATTAATCATCAGGTCTCAGTTATATTTTATAATGACTCATCAATTAAAAGCCTGATGATTGATTTTTTTTTAGACAGCACTTAGAGAGCAAACTGGACATGAAATAGAATTGAAAGCCCAATGACAAGTTTCTCTAGCAGTACTTATATATATAAACTATAACACTCCAGATCTTTTTCATAGATATTGTAGAAGAGCCTTGCGTACGGTATCTCTTGAGATAAAGCACTTTGATTTATCTGCAAATTTGGATGTTTCCAAATGCTATACTAATCTAAGATCTTATGTGTATAGATTCATCTGTGAAGAGTTATTTAGTAGTATGACAATAATATTATTCTCAAGTCTAATCAGGTATTTTACATATGTGGGTATTGTTTACGAAGGGGATTTATTTAGTTTCGAGGATGATACTGCAATCGAATGATGCTGAAATTTGGGGTCTTAATTTGAAAATATAAATCCTACTAAAATCTACCTATTCTCTTTTATTATAAATATTGACCCTAAATTCTAATTGAACTATCAAAAAAAAAAGCTAAACAAAACACCCAAAAAATTTTCAAATTTTCGTAATAAAATAAAAAAATTTCAACATCTGATTTCAGCATCATCCTGACATTTATCAATAATTAATTGGTTAGCGAATTGGCAGAATTTGATTTTATTAAAGATCCTTAGATTTAAAATAGATGAAAATCAAATTCTGCTAATTTACTGAGATGAAACAATGTATATTATTATACTTGGTTGTATTACAAAAGTTACAAATAAATTAGGTTTGTGCAATTAG